AAAATAGAGAACATCTGCTACTGAAGCTCTCATGAAAACTTATTTACGTCTTACATGAGGGAGAGCTCAGCACAGGAGGCCTCCTGACTTTTTCAGTGGAAGAGACTGGCATTTTGGATCAGGTAAAAGTGGTTTTGGGTGGTAATGAGACATTACTTTTTGTCTTTATCTGTAGATGACATATATAACAGCGGTCTCCAACCTTTTAGCACCAGGGACCAGTTTCATGGAAGACGGTTTTTCCACAGACCGGGGGGGTAAAGTGGGGGGCATGGGGATGGTTTTGGGATAATTCAAATGCATTAAATTTATTGTGCACTTTATTATATTGTCACTTGCTGCTCACTAATAGGGTTCTGATATGAGTCTGCAAGCAATTGATTTATTATGGCAAACCTCTCTGCTAATGATAACCTGTATTTGCAGTTGCTCCCCAGTGCTAGCATCACTGCCTCAGCTCCACCTCAGATCATCAGGCATTAGATTCTTGTAAGTAGCCCCCACCTAGATCCCTCGCATGCACAGTTTACAGTAGGGTTCGTGCTCCTATGAGAATCTAATGCCACCGCTCATCTGACAGCAGGTGGAGCTCAGGCGGTGATCCGAGGATGGGGAGTGGCTGTAAATACAGATGAAGCTTCACTCGCTTGCCTGCTGCTCACCTCCTGCTGTGCAGCCCGGTTCCTAATATGCCACTGACTGGTACTGGTTCACAGCCCAGGGGTTGGGAAATGCACATATATATGATCATCCTTCTCTTTTTGTTTATTACTCTTGTATCCCCATCTCCACTCTGACCCCACACAAATGATAAAGGGGCTTTATCATTTTCAAATCTCACACTAAGAAGACATTTTCTCCATTTTCCTCTGGCTTGCAAACACGCGCTTCCCTTTCAGATCTTAGTTCAAATATCACCTCTTTCAAGAAGCCTCACACAACACCCTCAAGCAGAGACAGCCACTCTCTTCCCTATTCCTTCACAGCATTTATTATACAATTATTTGTTTACTTGCTTGTCTCCTTTACTAGATTGAGGGTGCTGGTTGTAGTATTGTACAAACGTTATCTCATCTAATCCTCACAAATAATTCTACAAAACTGGTATCTTTAATACAGATGACTAAAACTGAGGCTGAGTAGTTAAGTAAGATGTCTCCAGTCACACAGCTAGTTAAGTGTAGACTGTGATTCACACATGGTTTTGTCAAATTCCAAATTCTATATTCTTATATCCCTGCTTGTAGCTCAGTACCTGGAAAACAGATGTTCAACAAATATAACAGAATGCCTTGGATGTCCCAGTGTGTAGGTGTACTGATCAACATGTTCTGCCTTTCGCTGTCTTTGTTCATGCCACCCATCCCTCTGGTCTGGAAGGTTTGCCCCTTAATTCTGGCAATTCAAGTACCCATCCATCATGGCCTGGATGAAGTCATTCTTTTTCTCGTAAGGAGTTTCCACATTCCATCTCAGCGTTAATCTCTTTACTCCCAGTTTTCCTATTGTTCTTGTTTTACCTCTATTATAGCACACATCATGACATATTACCTGACTTATACTACAAAGCTGTAGCAACCAAAACTGCATGGTACTGGCATAAAAACAGACACAAAGACCAACGGAGTAGAATAGAAAACCAAGAAATAAATCCACACACCTATAGTGAGCTTATCTTTGACAAAGGTGCGAAAAACATACAGTGGGGAAAAGACAGTCTCTTCAATAAATGGTGTTGGGAAAACTGGGTATCTACAAGCAGAAGAATGAAACTAGACCCTTATCTCTCACCATATACAAAAATCAAATCAAGATGGATTAAAGACTTATATCTAAGATATGAAACTATGAAACTACTCAAAGAAAACAGTGGGGAAATGCTTCAGGACATTGGTCTGGGCAAGAACTTCTTCATTAATATCCCCAAAGCACAGGCAGCCAAAGCAAAATTGGACACGTAGGATCACATCAGGCTAAAAAGCTTCTGCATAGCAAAAGAAAAAGTCAACAAAGTAAAGATATGACCACAGAATGGGGGAAAATATTTGCAAATTACCTATCTGACAAGGGATTAATAACTAGAATACATAAGAAGCTCCAACAACTCAATAGAAAAAAAATAATCTGATTAAAAAATGGGCAAAGGATCCTAACAGACATATCTCAAAAGAAGACATACGAATGGCCAACAAGTACATGAAAAAATGCTCAGCATCATTAGTCATCAGAGAAATGCAAGTCAAAAGTTAAAATGGCTTTTATCAAAGAGACAGGCAATAATGAATGCTGGCAAAGCTGTGGAGAAAGGGGAACTCTCATACACTGTTGGTGGGAATGTAAATTTGTACAACCACTATGGAAAACAGTACAGAGGTTTCTCAAAAAACTAAAAACATAACTACCAAATGACCTAACACGCCCATTGCTAGGTATATATCCAAAAGAAAGGAAATCAGTGTATTGAAAAGATATCTGCATTCCCGTGTTTAGTGTATTATTCACAATAGCCAAGATTTGGAATTAACCTAAGTGTCCATCAGCAGACAAATGGATAAAGAAATTGTGGTATATATACCCAACAGAATATTATATAGCCATAAAAAAGAATGAACTCCTGTCATTTGCAACAACACAGATGGAACTGGAGAACATTATGTTAAGGGAAGTAAGGAGAGTGCAGAAAGACAAATCTTGCATGTTCTCATTCATACGTGGGGACTAAATATTAAAACAATTGATCTCATGGAGATAGGGAGTAGAACGATGGTTACCAGAGGCTGGACAAGTTAGTGGGGAGCAGGGATAAAGTGGGGATAGTTAATGGGAGAAAAAATATGGTTAGATAGAATGAACATTATCTGATAGCACAAAAAAGTAACTATAGTCAACAATAAATTATGGTATACTTTAAAGTAACTAAAAGAGTGGAATTGGGATGTTCCTAACATAAAGAAATGATAAATGCTTGAGGTAATGGACATCCCAATTACCCTGATTTGATTAATACACATCGCCTGTATCTAAACATCACATGTAACCTATAACTATATACAACTATTATGTACCCACAAAAATTAAAAATAAAGAAAATCTCTTATTTACAAACTCATTTTCTCCCACTTCAAGTATCTCCTGTATTACGATAATAAAAGCTAAACATATTTGTGTTGATTTTTAGAAGAACATTCTATTTAAAGCCATCATAATCCACTACATCTTTTATCAGCATCAAGGAACCTCTGACAACGACATGCCACAGTCTGCGCGTACTGTTTTCTTCAGCAGTCCCTCATGTCTAATACTGTGATTTAATTTCCACATTTGACACTTTTTAGGAGGGAAAAGCAACTTAAGTGGCATTCTAAGCAACCTCAGCTTCCAAGAAGGAATACACAGTATCTACCAAATAGAGGGCAACCAAAGATTTCTGGTGGTGGTTTTCTGTTCCATACTTAACAATCCCATCACTTGGAAAAGGGAAAAGAAATTGGAAAAGAAATCCTGAACATGACAGCCTCTGATAGCAATAAAAGGTGCCCATGAATATGGCCCTTGCCTATTCCTCCCCACTGGTGGCAGTTGTGGGGAAATGGGGAGAAGAGGGGTACAGCCAATGCAGAAAGAGAGAGCACGATGTTTATGGCCTCAAGAGTTCAAGGGAAGATATGACTGGAAGATGTGTTGTTCTATACATGTACTATAAAATTCCAAAAGGTAAATTTAACATAGCCAAAAAATAAATTATCATTCACACTTTCCTGAACACTCTGCATAAGACTTACATTTGGTCAACATCAACAAAACA